AAATAATAAATACAATTGAGATCAATAGATAGCAGTTAATAATACACTGATAAAGCGACAACTGTTAATGAAACGAAATTATTTCTACAATAAATCTTGCGTGTTAGAATGTTATCAAATGACAATGGAATAGACTTTCTTAGATGAAAATAACTTAAATGTAGAAAATGCTGCTAAACATAAAAATAACTAATTTGAAATTGTTCGAAATCGATTGAGAGATCCAGATTATTTTTCTGTCACTTACACTTCAATGACATTAAAATCTAACTGTCAGATTTTATTTTTACTTCGTAGACTCTCGTCAGTTCCTTACAACCTGTGATATTTAAAATTATAATTACATAATGGGTTTAAATTACTTACATGAAAGAGTTTCATTGGAAGTTATATTGAAGACATATTCGTATAGTATAGCAAGGGTGTAAATAAATTGAATAGACTGAATATTGTACATATGTAGCTTATATGCGAGAAAATTCTACATTTTTTCTTTCAACCCTGTTGAGTCGGCTTTCGGAGAACTTCAACGGAGCCGAAGAGTCCTAGCCAATCAGAGCATGATGGAGGATTCTAGAATTGCAACGTGGCGTGCTACTATTGGTCAGCAGCATAATATGTTGATATGTTGATTTAACAAACGTTAACATCTATAAATACCCATGTTTTCTGTACAAAAACGAACCTTGGAGTAAAGTATTTCTCTCATGCTTTGCGTCTTCTCTCTGGTGTTCAGGTTGCTGTGTAGTTCTAGCTTGCGGGTTACCAGAATAGCTTAGGAACGAAATATAGCTCTCAATCGACAAGACATATCAAACTCTTTCTCACATTTATTACATCATTGAGTTTTAATTCAACTATCTTCCAAATTAATAATCTTATTTTATCAACTGTGCTCTACTCACTATATTCCTATCAATATTTATTCATTATATAATCACTTGTTTCTAGCCGTTTGAATTGTTGTCACAATCAATGTTGTAGAATGCTCTTTTACATAAGGTATATATATTCACAATATTCAGTCTATTCAATTTATTTACACCCTTGCTGTACTATACGAATGTTTCCAATATAACCTACAATCAAACTCTTTCGTGTAAGTAATTTAAACCCATTATGTAATTATGATTTTAAATATCACGGGTTGTAAGCAACTGACGAGAATCAACGAAATCAAAATGAATTCATGCTATTGTGCTAGAATTTTTGTTCTTGTTCTTTTCAAAACGATAAAGGGAACTACGTGTGAGAAACTAGTATCCTAGATTCCACTGCTAACTACAATCCATCTATTCTAACACAGAAAGAACTATGTGTATGAAATGTCAGACTTTATTTTTGTGTACTCTTTGTAGGTGTTATTGGGAAAAAAATGACTGATATCTGTTAGATATAATGAAATCCAATTTTAACCGAACTGTTATGAATTATTTTATCATGTATTTTTTTGAGGTGGTGGTGAAGATTTGCAGCTCAGGCGGATGATTTTGATGAAGTTCTGTGAGTATAACAAAACCACATTGCTCAGAGAACAAAACTTAATTAAAACGTATTTAAAGAAGGAACAAATTGAGCGAAGAAATTTCGTTTCAATTAGTTTTTCATCATGGCTCTACACTAATATATATACGTTTTACAATAATAATATAATACTCATCGAGTGGATACGTTACGTAATAATTACATAATGACATTTAAATTAACATTCAGTAATTGGAAGAGAGAGGATTATTAATATTCAAAGTAATCAAGAAGTTGCTATGTTGCGTAATATAAGAAACAAAGAAGGAATAGAATTTTACCGAATGGTCAATAGGATAGTAGTTACGTAAGAATCAAGAGATGAATGTTGAGAAGTTATTAAGTTCAAAAGCAACAGAAATAAAATTACAAAAGTTAAAAAATGGAAGAAGTATGAAAAATAGTTCTTTTGAAGGAAATCTTAAACTGATGGCCAGGGCAGGGAAAGTGGTTGTACGAATCTCTTTTGAATGCAAAGGTCAGGTTTGTGAACATAGATTGCGATGGCTTCCTTGTTTCTTACATTACGCAACATAGCAACTCCTTGATTACTTTGAATATTAATAATCCTCTTTCTTCCAATTAATCAATGTTAATTTAAATGTCATTATGTAATTATTACGTAACGTATCCACTCGATGAGTATTATATTATTATTGTAAAACGTATATATATTAGTGTAGAGCCATGATGAAAAACTAATTGAAAAGAAATTTCTTCGCTCAATTCGTTCCTTCTTTATTTACCAAATGGCAAAATGGGAATTTTCACTATATTAAAACGTATTTTCTTTTCTGTAAGTTTTTCCTCATTTCAATTAGTTTCAGTCAGTCAGCTACAACGTAGGACCAGGCACATATATGCATCGGTCCAAGTTCCCATACCTCATTCGCACAGCAAGACGAACACCAGATTCATAGAAGTAGTCAATTCAGTGGTGGTAATATATAAAAGAAAGATTGCATATAAGGATATAGTACAGGAAGAAAGAATTAGTTGGTAGAAATAAAGATATGAAGGGATTTCCATCTCATAGTTTAAGGGAAAACAGAGAGTTTATGCACCTACGCCATTGTGATCGATCCTGAGCCATGTCACCAAGAGTCTCCAACCATTAGTTACGATAGTCACGCGGACCCCAACCATGTAGTCTGCATCTACCAACATGACTCAAACTAAAAGTTAGTGACTTCATACACTGATGCCACGATTTGGTTTGGCCGCCCCTAACTTTCTTCAATTAGAACCAATTATATAAGAGAAACTGTATATCTATGTATAGAATATTATTGATTGAAATTTCCTTATTTCATGTATTAGTAATAATAATAAAAATGAACCATGTAACTTATTCATTTACTATTGATTATTTAATAAATTTTTAATTCATTCAATTAAATATACGGGTAATTTAATTCAATTTCTTTTTCTATTCAATAAATTACTTATAAAGTACCCGCATTTTCTATTATGAACTAGTGAATCATTAATTAATTTAATTTAATTTTATGGAAGTAATTTTGTGAATAGATAATCTGCTATCATTATGATTTTTCAGATGGTTTACAGTTTAAGCGAAAGTATCAACGATGTTATTGTTCTTCATTGTTTTGGTATACCTTAACTATACAATATATACTTTAGATTAGAACAAGAATTAAGAAAGAATGATATATAAATTCCAATGAATCTGAACAACATAGATTATAGTATTAGTAGTAGTGTGGTGTGGATTACTTATATCCACATAAGTAATATTGTGGTGTGTGCTACTTATATTGACATAAGTAGTATATGATGTTAGTGGTGAACAGGAGGTCTGGATCGAATGGTAAAGAATGGAACAGGATGCAATTTATATGAAAATGCAAGAACAATGAAGTCTGAGTGATATTGAGACAATTGGTGGACATTTTTCAAATTAAGCATTTACTTTATGATTGTTAGATTTTATTAACAAGCCCTGTAATATTGTGTTAAATACATTCGATTATTCCCCACTGGTGTTTGTGTTCACTACATTTGGTGTCGTTGTCAACCAGGAGGGGGAGGGGTGCTATTCTGCGAATGCGAATGGACTGATATTTACAAAATGAACAGTGAAGTTTGAGACGATGGATTAATATTTTGCAAATTAACTATTTACTATATTTGGTTCTCAGATTTTAGTGAGATACTCTGTAATTTCATGTTGAATACATTCGATTGTCCCCACTCGTGTTCTTGTTCACTACCGTACTAGTAGTAGTAGTAGTAGTATCAAAGTTTACTTAAAATTTAAGAGCATAAATATTCGATAAAATTATAGTGTGGAAATGATTTCAAAATAACTGTGACGAATTTTCAACCAGTTCTTAACCAAATTATAAAATGGCTTTTGTAAATGAATAGTTTATGATAAATAAAACAGTAATATCACAGTGTGTAAATAGATTTTATATAATTAGTAAATCTGTTAAAGTTTTCTTTAGATTACTCTACCGTTAATTAAGAATGAATTTATCCTTATAGATATAGATTATCTGTATTCTCGAACCTTTTAAAGAACCTAAGTAGATTTTTAGGAGTTTCCACATTGGTCTTGATTAGAGTTATGTATTTATGTTTAGGATTATGGGATTAAGGATTTCAGTTTTTATCATGGACTAACACAAGTTGTAATCGAAAAGTGCATTAGGGATATTTTATATTTTCATGTTCAGTTCAATCTATGTAAACAGAATTGACCAATTGATATATTTAAAATTATCATTTTTACTATTTAATGACAAAAACTAACTTTTCGCTGTGACTTTAAACGTTCTGAGCATTGTACAAATGTATTTCTACTGCTCGCTACAGATGGTATTTGAATATTACGCTCGTCTCTATACTGTATCACATCTACCATTTTCTCAACTTGTTCACTAACGCTGACTGATTGAGATAAATATAATCAGTATATTCAAATTTGAACCTAAACTAACCATGTCATGACTCTGTCTTGTTAATAAAAGGATGATAATCGTATCATGAATTCAACTAGTATTGACTAACTTTAGACTATCAAAATTATCTAGATTTGGATGAATCTAACTAGCCGTAAGTCACAGGAAGAGTGCTAATCGCTTGCATTTGTAAAAAAAAGTGATGGGTAACCTAGTAACTGACAAATATCTGTAAAGCATTCAATTCTCATATAGTAATAGATTAAATGTTCGAATTTTTTCTCACTTATTTCATTTTGACAAATTGAATAGTATCAATTGTTGTGACATTTGAACTGTTTTTCAAAGCTGCTCGAGTGTATAAACCTATTGTTTGGCCTGTGTTACTATCAAGTAAAATTACTTCTATTTAATTGTAAGATAATAAAAATTGGATTTATATAAGTTGGAACTCAGTTTCATAATGATTGGGAGAATTTAATAATAAACTATTCGTTAATTGAGTATTAAATAGATTACTTATACTTCTTTTTTTTCTCACCTTTTTAGCACCGGAAATTATTAACTATGATCCTATCACATTTGCTACAGATATGTGGTAAGTTAATCATACAACAAGTTGTTAAGTGTATATTTGATCTGTCTAATAAATATGTAAACTGGGCCGGCTAGTTACTAAGGTCGTTAGTTATAGATAACCAGTAAACAAAGGATCAATTGCACTGCACTTTAAACTTTTACCGTCTTTAGTCATTGTGACCTTATTGACATGGATCTTGTGCAACTGAATATATGTGTTACTAATGTATGGTCGCTGTACTATAACAATGTGATTGCTAATTCATTCGTAATTGTCCGTACAACCACTCTTTCTACTTATCATAATGAGGTCTCTGGGATATATTTCTGTCACAATTGATGGATCACTGGGTGGTGATCAATGTCATGCTTGTCTAGTCCTTATTAGTGCAGATCGAATGCTATCGATCATGTTGCAATGTGGCCACCAGTCTAGGTGACTCGACACTGCGGGCACTATGTATTGAAATTTAGATGGTGGTTGGAGGTAGTCAACAGGAAACCCTGTCAGCAAGGTGTACCTGTAATCTTGAGGGAACTGGTGCTCCCTGGCGGATTCGATCTCGTGTCACCCAGCTTCTGTTCCTAAAATTCAAAATGGTTATGCAGAGTGATAATAGGACAGTTTTAATATGTTAAAATGTTGAAATGACGTTACCGATGTCAGTTAGAAAGCCATTGAAAAACAGAGAGAGTATTGAATAACTGTCTCGTCTTTCTTTTGAAACTTCCAACCATGATCACTCACAACCACATTGATTGGTTAGTAATCCAAGGAAGTTTATATTTTGCAATGTCTGCTATGTCGCGTTTATTGTTACATAAATCTATTTTTTCTCAATGTGTCACAATGAGATTGAAATTGACTTTCATCCATAAAATATTTGGCTTAATCTCTACATGATTGACTTCATCAGTCACTAATTCCCACAACGTAGAACTTCGTACGTACGTACGTACATCAGTTCGAGTTGCCACACCACATTAGCACAGAGATGCAGTTGTCGATTCAAATCCTGTAGTGGTAGAGGTAATAAGAGTATAAGCAGTAATCGGGAAGATTAGGGTTTGGAGATGTGGCAACTCGAACTGATGTACGTACGTACGAAGTTCTACGTTGTTACTGACTGACTGACTGACTATAATTTTGAGAAATATCAATGAAATCTAGTCTGTAATGTATAATTAATGATAATTAAAATTCTTTTATAAACATTTTATCTCCAAATGATAAAGGTGTTTTGTACATTTTAATTTCATAATGGTTCTATAATTGATATCAGTTCATAAAGGGAATTGTTGTTGAGTATGATAGTAGAATCTCCACAATTTGAGTTAACCTTTTAAAATGTTGTTACTGTGTTTCTAAAATTAAAAAAAAATTTTTACTTCAAGTTTTGAATTGTATATCTTATATAGTTCTATATTTATCTTTAATTGTCGATTGCTTACTGTAATTATATAGTCAAACTGATCTTTTTTAGTTTCACAGTCCATTCATCATATCACTATATTTTTTTGCAATTGTGAAACATGAAATTATAGGGTATAAACTGCAAATATTTAATCATAGGCGTCTTCAAAGCACTTTTCACAAATAGTAAAGTCATCTAGTGAATAATTGGTAGGTTGGGTGTGTGTTGGTGAGACTATAAATCTTTGTTTACTGAGCCTGCCTAAGAAATATGTTATGCATTATCAACGATTACACTTACTCGAAACGATAATACACTGGGCAGTGTTGGAGTAAGTTGTTAAAATCCAATATGTAAGATCAGTCTGTAAAATCACTGACCATGTGTGGGAGTGAGGCTGATTAGTTCCTAGTCCCTATCTTGTTTAAAAAACACTTATTTTTGTACTATCTTTTTAAGGCACATTTTTTATATTGGGTGCAAGGTAGGCAAGCCGGCTCATCATACTAGAGTAGATCTGACAGGGTTCGAACTTACACTTCAATAGTTGAGAGTCATGTGATAAAGATTATTGTCAAATAAATATTTTCTGTGTTTTCTCGCAATATAGAAATATTTGTAATTTTTATTATCCTGTTTTCATTTTTCCTATCACTACTACTACTGCAACGCTTGTCATTATACTGTCAAATTTAATCTACATCATTGACTCATAATAGTGCCTTAAAATCTGGTCTCTGTTTTAACATTCCAGTATATTACATGTAATTAATTGATTTCTAACTATGTAGGACTTGAAAAATTCACAACTCCATTTATTTATTTATTTAAAAACATAAACATTGGTACAAGGAGGCACCAAATATATATGCGCCACATATATCATTGGATTTGTGTGAGGGATAGAATACTATCCGGGTGCACAAACCAAAGCAGATGGTTTTCATGAGAGGCCACTCCTCAAGTCTTTGACCTAGAAGTCTAATCTATAAGAAAGTGGAGCAACATAAATAGATTGCAGTCTCATAGTAGCCAGTGACCAACAATAGATTCATACCCCATTAGTTTTTACAGAATCCTAGAGCCTATATATACACCATTAGTCTGGAATCAGAATTTTCCAACTCTCCTAAGTGGATCCTCTCTATCCACCAACCTGGTTAAGGATCCGGACATTCGCTTTTGGTCGCGATAAAGCATTAAGTAGAACACCCGGCAATGGTTGTGCATGCATAACCACGTGTGTGCATTTCGAGAGAGATAGCTGACTCTCACCACCCTCGACAGTACCGCATTTGGGGCAATACATCAATAAACCGTATCTACATAGCACCCTACTCTTTCATTTAAAGTTTTCAGACCTCAACTTTTATGTTGACAATCACCCGATTACTATACGTCTAATTATCCCATTACACATCGATCTATATTTTATCACAGACTTTTTCCATATATATATATATTACCATGACAACAGAATTGATTTTCCTTAATTAATAATCCTTAATTTGTAACCGATTGGTGTTAAATCATTTAATATGATATTTTAAGTGAATATGTAATTCCTTTTTCTTTCGTGGTATTCTGAGGAGTTTATAAATAAAAAAATTGATTCTTCTTTTCTTCTTTTTTTTTCTCCATCGTATTGTGAATTAGTTATCATAATTGAGTGAAATGTTTATATTTAATTTGATTTGTAAACAAAATATGCATTTGTATATGTTTAGATTTGATGGTTAATTTATATATATAAAAACAAGGAATATACGTAAATAATTTCTAACTTGGGTTTATTTGTTTACTTGTAAAATTGACTTTTAAAACCCTAAGGGTTTTGTGCACCTTTTACGTGTATTTTTTATTTACGATCTCGTTCTAGCACGTATGTATGTATGTATGTGTGTGTGTGTGTGTGGATAAACTCAGTTGTTGAAAGTCAAGTGTATTAAGTTGATATTTCTGTTGTATCATTGAAATGATGTTGTCCACATTATTTCATGTTACTCTATATTTTAACATTTTCAAAATTTTCCTCAGATTTTTTTTGTTTTGTTTTGATAAATGATAGTTCATAAGAAATACATGTTGTTGCTATGGTTTCATTTCATAATCTCGTTAAGTATACATAATTAAATGATGTTTCTGATATTAAAAAAAAACTGAGTTATATGTTTGCAGATTTTTAACTTTTTTTGGAATGGTAAACGCAAAATAATAATGATTGATAAATTAAAGTGAAGACTTACTTGGTTAAAATGTACAAATTAATTAAGTAGATAATAATTACTATTTCATACTGCCTATTTTTCAATCCTTTTTACTTTTTCACCCACTGGATTTATTGGAATAGATAGATTATGAATGGCAATAGAGTGAAGAATGTATGTGAGTTTCTTTCTATTTGGGGCTCGTCAGTTGACTGTACCTCCAGTCCAGTGTTGATATTCACGTTCGATCTAGAATATAGTATTTTTCGCTTCAAATTTCTAACGCGTTATACCCTAAACTTAGCAATTTATTTGTTTATTATGTATGCTATTTGTAATATTATTAGCGAGGGATTGAGTTATCCCATTTATAATTAAATTTTTCACCAAATGGAGAAGGCTTTGAACTTGTGAAACATTGATTGAGTTCTGTATATCAGCAACCAATTAATCCAAACTCTTATCCAAATACTTGATTTAATCTTTTAGGCCTAAAAAGATTTTATTATTTCAAAGCATTGGTTTTTGTTATGTATATGCTTTGATAATTGATCAGAGCTGTTTACTTCCTTTTTAACAAGATTTTTGATTTACAAATTGTCTAGATTTATATACTCTACTTTTAGTTATATTGTTTCAGTGATAGTTCCGGTAATACTAATAATACCATCAATTACTTAAATAAATATAAAGTTGAACAGGATATGGAACGTATAACGTATTGTCTATTTTTGTATTGGTTGTCTGAATCTTCCCATTGATGTTTAGGACTACAATTAATGAGTCTCATATTAGCATATGTTTATCCTGTGTGAATTGCCTCGATATCGTCTTCATCTTATAGGCGAAGCAGTATTTTCTCATAATGTTTTTCCCCTGTACCTTTTCAGGTTTAATATTATTGATAGTTGCTGACGATTAGACATATTAATGCATACATTGAGTCATGACTTCAATAGAAACCTTGATTATTTCCTATTTCCCACTACTTCTCCCTAATTTTATATAAATATTTAATATTCATATTTTTAATTAGATTAACTAAACATTATGGGTGTGTCTATAACCAAACAAGTTCAACGCTATTATTTATTTATAACAAATAATATACTTGTGTCATCTGTTTAACTTTTATCAATCTTAAGTAGATTGTCTACATTTATTCTAGAAAAAAGAAAGTGAACTGACTTTCTAAGCGAGCGAGCGAGCGAGAGAGATAAAAAAGGGAAATGGTAGATAACTTTTTGGCATAAGATTGTGGTACTTATTCCCGTCTGTATGTGTATGTATGAATACTACTTTTCCTAAAGATATATAAATTCAATACCACTATTAGTACTGTGTTTTTCTCTCTTGTAAATGAAACTAATCAACTATAAATGATACAACCCTTTAAG